AGAGCCTTGGATGCCAAGTGAAGGAATGTACTTTACCCTAAGGCGATGCGACTTTGTCATGAAAGTTTTTTTAAGTAGGAGGAAACAGTGCCAGGTTTGGATTCTGGGAAGATCACTGTGTTGCCTGTGGCAGATGGGTAGGGGTGGGGAGCAGCCTGGAGCCAGGGGAGGAGGCCTGTGCTGTCACTGAAATGAGAGGTGATGAGGGCCTCAGCCAGGGCAATGACAGGGGAGCTGGGATGCTGCAGCAGGAGAGCTGACAGAATCTGGGAGCGGGGTCAGAGGTGGGCGAGGGAGAAGGAGGAGGTGGAAAGGAGACCGAGTGATGGCATGGACGGTGGTGCTGTTCATCAAGATGGGGACACAGGGCAGGGGGGTGCGGTGGAGATGAAGAGCTTCATTTTGGATGGTGTGGACTGAATGTTTGCACCCCCCTCCAATTGCTATGTTAAAGTCCTAGCCCCCAAGGTGGCTGTATTTGGAGATGGGGCCTCTAAGGAAGTAATAAAGGTTAAGTAAGGTCATAAGGGTGGGGCCCTGATCCCGTAGGATTAGTGTCTTTATAAGAAGAGACAAAGAGAGCTTGTTCTCTCTCTTCCCATGTGAAAAGGCAGCCATCTGCAAGCCAGCAAGAGAGCCCGGACCAAACACTGAATCAGCTAGAACCTCACTCTCAGACTTCTAGCCTAAAATTGTGAGAAAATAAATTTCTGTATAAGCCACCCAGTCTATGGTATTTTGTTATGAGCAGACTAATAGAGATGGGTTATTTGAGATGTCCAAGGGAGAAGCTATATAAAATGTGTCACGGGTGGACTGAAATGCAAGTGGGGAATAGATTTGGAAGCCATCAGTGTTTAGGTTGAGGCTGGAGCCATAAGAGTGGATGTGATCAACTGCAGAAGGTTCTAGAGAGAGGACAGAAGGCTAAGGACAGACACTGGAAGGTACCTGCTCTGAGGGGCAGTGAGGAACCACGCAGGGGCTGTGAGACAGTGGCCAGAGCAGTGTAGAAGCCCGGAGAGCAGCCTAGTGGGCAGAGTCGTATCAGATCCAGGGAATTCAATTACCCACCTTTTCACAGTAGAGGGGGTTCCCCACCATGAAGGTGTGAGACCGATGGGCTTCCCTCCTCCAATAAAAGGCCAATGGCATCCCAATGTTTGGCCCTTCATAGGTTCTTCTTCCTGCTGGACAAGGGGCTAATCTTCCATGAGGCCTCAGGGCTCCCCATGGCCTGGATCTGCCACTTCTGCCTCCACACCCTACACTATGGCCACAGCGCACCATCTCATTTCTTGGCCAGTCTGGGGAGCGAGGGCCCTAGGTGGGGAGCACAGGTGTGAGGCAGGGACCTAGAACCAGAGCCTGTCAGGGTGAACACAGGCCATCTGCAGGCTGGCAAGCAGCCACGTGTTCCCAGGCTGAGGACACCCAGGTAGAGAGCAGTGGCAATCATGGAACGTGTGGGTGGAGAGGAGCTTTAGTGGCCTCCCAGGGGAAGGTGCCTCTGGCCAGGCACCGTGTAAGGAGCCTTCTGTGATCTCGTTTCACTTTCTTAACATGCTATGATGTCATTATTATCTCGGTTTTACAAGTGGGGAAAATGAGGCTCAAAGATACCACATGACTTGCCTCAAGTCATGCTGCTGGGACCACGCTAGAATTCAACGGGTTGGGCTCAATTTCTGAGTCTGTTCTATCTTCTCAGAACCTGCTCCTTTTGTGCACAGAGCCCACGTAGCCCCTGCTTCATTAGCGATGCCTCTAAACACGCAGACTCTCTTCCTAACTTGTCCCAGGTCCCAGGAGAAGGCCTGCTGACACCAGGTCTGACCGGCAGTCGCACAGCAAGTTTTTAGACTGTGTCCATGTTGCTCGCAATCATAACCCCAGCACTCAGCACAGCGCGGTCATGTACCAGGAGCTTCATCAACACCGGCTAAGTGAAATGGTCAAGAACTAATGAACGAAGCCCTAACCTCTAGCAACAAGGATTCTGCGGCCATGACATATGGCCCGTTTGATTGGGGCAAAGCTTTGACTTTTGTAAAGATTTTATAGAAATTGAAATTCTGTCATTTTGGGAGGCTCTCAGTATAGGGGGAAATTATGGGCTTTGGAGCCAGAGAGACACGGGGTCGAATCCTGGCTCTGCCAGGTCCCTGACTTGTGTGTGACCCGGGCAGGTAACTTTACCCCTCTGAATCTCCAATTTCTCATCTGTAAATGAGCAGCCACTGTATAGCTGTGAGCACCGAATGAGATGACGGGTGCTTTTCAAACTAGTGGTCACCTGCAGGTTTCTCTTATAAGAGGGTTCACAAGTAATAGAGAACAGAGAAGAAATGGAAATGGAGGCAGGGTCATTTCTTCCCTACTAGGCATCCCCGAGGCCAGCATGGTGGTCGCTGAGGACACCAAGTCTTCCTATGACACCGAAAGCCCCGAGATAGTGAACATACAGCTCCTTGCACAGGGTGGGCTCCCAACAGACGAGAAGTCTCTTTCCATTCCAATGAAATCACACCAAACAAGTCTAATTCCTCTTCCCCATGTAACAACCCTTCGAATATTTGGACACAGCTCTCGGGTTTCTCCTGGGTCTACTTCCCCCCGAATAAACATTCAGGGCTTGCTCACCTTTCTCACTGGCTTGACTTATGCCCTCTCCTTGTCCACCTCAAGCTGCGATCCCCACACCTGAGTTCAATTCTCTGATGCCTGATCAGAACAGGATACAGCACACTAACTCCCCGGGATCAATCCTAGTAGCTAAGTTTTCAAACCTTAAACACACTTCACCTTTCTCCCTGCTTCATCTGGTCATGGTCACTTAGCCCACAGCCCGTCCCCATCGAGACTTTCCGCATGCTGACTGGTCACTGGCCTGTCTTTCACGCTCACGCCATTTACATCTAATCTGAGCCACTGATAAAATATGGACAGATCAAGGGCATGCGGATGACACAAGATCTTTCCTCCTGCCTCTGGAAACATTCACTGCAGGATACCCACAGAAGCTCAGAAATAGGGGAACCTTAGAAACCTCCTGTCCAAGTTCATTTCCAAAGTGTGAGTGTGGCAGCTTGGACCTGAACCCGGATCTCCCGATTTCTTGTCTGATGCGCTTGCTGTGGCCCCGCAGCTGCTTGTGTGTAACTCTGTGCACCGGAAGAGCCCACTCCTCCAGCTCCCTGCACACTCATCACTCGCTCGTCACACTGCATGTGCAACACTCCTTACTTTTGCATTCTTTAAATGCAACCCTCACAGGAGCCCTGGAACCTTGGTTGTGTTATCTCCACAGATGAAGAAATGGAGCCCTAGAGAGGCTGCCTGACCTGCCATGGAGCTAGAGTGAGAGAACCAGGCTCTGAGCTCCGCGCTTGGCCCCCAATAGATGTTCTCTGCTCGCTGTTCTGTCTCATCCAGACACATGCTTCCTGTTCTTGGAACCGCATTCATCGTCCTTACCCCAGTGGGCACGGTGGTGTGTCAGTGTTAGTGCAGGAGATACGGGCTGGCCTCCTGTTATGGGTTGAATTGTGTTCCCCAAAAGATATGTTGAATCCTAACCCCTGGTAACTGTGAGTATGACTTTATTTGGAAATAGGCTCTTCATGGAGGTCATCAAGTTAAGATGAGGTCCTACTGGAGTAGGGCGGGCCCTTTAGCCAATATGACTGGTGTCTTATAAGAGGGGGAGGGAGACACATAGGGATGTATATGACAACAGGAGCAGAGACGGAAGTGCTACAGCTACAAGGCAAAGAATGCCAAGGACTGCTGGAAGGATCACCATGGACGCTAGGAAGAGGCAAGGAGGGATGCTACCCAATGTCTCAGAGGGAGCACGGCCCCTCCTGACACCTTAGATTCAGACTTCTGGCCTCCAGAACTGAGAGAGAATACATTTCTGTTGAACTGAGCCATCTAGTTTGTGGTTCTTGTTAGGGCAGCTCTAGGAAACTCACACATGTCCTGTGCGCCCAGTTTGGACAGAGAGTCCAGGACCTGGTACAGAAGAACCCTTGGACCACTGGGGGTGTGAGGCACATGGAGCAGAATGAATCCTTTGGCACTGCTCCCCCTAAACAGTCTCTTGTAGATGAGCAGGTCTCTGAGTGGGGGTGCAGGAAGGACACCTCTCCCTCCTGTCTCTCTAGTGGCCACTTTGTCCTCTGAGAGACTTAAGGCCCCCTTTCTTGATAAAGCCCTTCCTGATGCCCCAGAAAGGATGGCTGCCCTTCTCCGTGCCCCAGGGGCTCTGTTTGCCACACCCCCTGTCGGCAATAGCTCAAGTGTTCCTGCTTCTGTCTCACTGCGTGCGAGAGGGCTGCCCCTTGCGGCAAGTGCCTGGAGCTGATGATTCTGTTGCCTAGTGCTGGCGTGGATCTGGCACCTAACAGGGCCTTAACCAATCCCCAGGGGGTGGCTTTTCCCCTTCTTGTGGGGATCGGCGTTAGCAGTCATCAGCCAACAGGAGGCATGGAAGGGTGACAGTAGTGGCATCTCTTGGGCCCTGGAATCTGCCATCCCCTTAATGCCTGCTTCCATCAAGAGGTGAAGGTCACCCTCATCAGGTCACCAGTGGTGTGCCTGCCCCAAGCCCTGTGCACAGTCCCTCATCACTATGACATCCCAATAGGGTAACTTGGGAAGCTCCTATCTCTAGACAGAAAATAACAGAGGCTCAGAAGTTTACGGGGCCTTTTGAAGGTCTCCACAAGCCAAGTATGAGTCGGGATGGAACTGATGTATGTGCCCAGTGCCGTGTCCAGTATTATAAGTGATTTATCTCAGATAATCCTCAAAACAACCCAGGAAGCCCACTGGACAAAGACTGAGGCTGGGGATCAGAGACGTCAAGAGCTCCCATGTGCCTAAGCAGAGGAAGCCAATGAAGAGCCGAGTCAGCAACCCCGGGCTAGCTGACCCACATCCAGACCCCAGGCTCTGACTCCAGGGCGGTCCCTCGGCTCCCTAGGAGTAGTTACCTTCGTAAGAAGCCTTGAATCCCAGGGAGCTGCCGCTGCTGTCGGTCTGGAAGAGGAGCCACATTTGATGGTTGGTGCTGACAATGAGATCTGGGACCGATGTACCTGTCAGGCTGTCAGGAGAGACAGAGTTAGAGGTGTGCACCCCACCGTGGCACCCCAACAGAATGACTGCTGGGCCGATGACACCTAGAGGAATATCTCGGGGGCTAGGCCCACTCTCTGAGCTCCACAGTGTTTCTGATGCTGGAGCCCAGGGGCATGTGCTCCACTTGATGGGAGACTCAGCGCCTCTCCCCCTTGGCCATGGCAGAGCTTGAATCTCAACTTTTACTCCCTCTCCCAGATCGCAGCGCTCATGAGAGAAACTGTCCTTGCTGGCTTCGGGGACAGGGCTAGCTGAAACCAGAACTAATCCTGGGGTATCTACACTCCTGTAACCTCCAATCTCTCATGTGAACTGTACTGCAGGAAAGAGACAGAAACCCCTTCTCTCGGTTGGAACCCAGTCGTTCCTCTAATGAGACATGTTTCCCGTCTAGTACAAGAAGTGAGGCTTAAAACACAGCCGTCACCCCAGGCCACATTTTCCTGAAGAGTTTTAGCATGAAGAGCTTCTGATTCGACTCATGTTTTCCAGGCACCTACCGAAGTGAGACTGCTTCACATCCATTATCTCAAGACCATTATCTCATTTAATGCCCCAGCAGCCCAGTGAGGTAGGGGTTACTTTATCCCCGCTGTAGAGATGAGAAGATAAAGGAACCAAGTGGGCAGTAGCTTTCCTGGTCAGTTTGCTGGCGAGTGGCAGAGCCAGCGTCCACTGCACAGGCTGGGTTTCTGGAAGAAACCTGGCTTCCTCTTACTGCAGAGACCAGGAGATCACCAGCACAGGTCGAGGCTGGAGGGCTGTGGAGGTGGAGACTGCGTTAATGGGTCTGCTCTCCCCTGGGGTGGGGGTACTGAGTTGGCTGCAAAGAGATATTCAACACACCACAAGGGCCGTGGGGGTGAGCTGGAGCTGGGACAGGCCACGTGGAGAACACCAGCCCGGACTGTGTGACATCCCTGATCTGTGGGCTCACACATGCTGTAATGAGTCAAGGTGGAGGCCAGGCCAGGGTTGGCTCTTGTTCCGGGGTGGCAATAAGCAAGAGAGAAGGCCAAGGCCTCTGCTTTTCCTGTTTGACCCAATAAGGACAACAAAGGAGCCTGACTATTTTGTACGTGTTTACCTGAAGGTTTGAGATTGACCCTGGCCCAAGGAGATCTGGGGGTGGTGTGGGAGCCCCTGGGCTGCTATAGAACTTGTTGGTAGCTCACTCACACTAGGTTGGTCCAGAGATCTGGGTAAAAGCCCTGGCTCTGCTGCTCTTTGCTGTGGGAACTTGGGCAAGTGGCTGTGCCTCTCTGGGCCTTCTCACTCCATGTAAAATGAGGGGATTGGGTTGTATGATCCCCAAGACTTTTCAGCTTTTCTGCCCTAAGGTTCTCTCTATGGAAAAGCACAATGGGGTCATGGAAGGAGACAAAGATGGGATCCTTGCCTCTTGGGCATACTGAGCTAATGCACCATAGCGGTCAGCCATCCAGGGCAGGTGAGTGATGGGGATGCACCAAGAGGAGGGGAGAGGTGGGTGTGATGGCTACTTGATGTGTCAATTTGCCAGGGCCCTGGGGTACCCAGATATCCAGCCAAACATTATTTTGGGTGTGCCTATGTTTTTGGATGAGATTAACATTTAAATTGATAGATGGAGTAAGCAGATTGCCCTCCCCAGTGTGGGTGGGCCTCATCCAATCAGTTGAAGGCCTGAACTGAACAAAAAGGCTGACGTTCCCCTGAGTGAAAGAGGATTCTTCCTGTCTGCCTGAATTCCAGCTGGGACATTGTGCTCCCCCCCCCCCCCC